CGAAATGCATAGCGAGGGATTGAAACACCGACCTGAGGCCAAGCTTATGGAATCATGATTTGAAAACATTGCAATGCCTGAGAATGAATGTTACTCCTACTCAACAGTTGTGTAACTACCGCAGGTTCATCGATCCTGGTCCCCCGACCTCCAGGGGATCTCTGATCTATAAAAGTCCCACCCCCTTATTAAAAATCTAATAAAGCAATACATAAATAAAAATCTTGATTGATAGTATTTATCTGTATGTAATACTGCACATTATAATTTAAAATTGTTAAAAATAATCACTTTATACATGCCTAGGCCCCTATGCCTGTTGTGAAAAAATGCAACCCGAACACTAGATGGAAATCTACAGTGAAAGAGAGATGGCATTGCAATTAGTGCAACAACACTAAAGGTGTTTGAGTTTGGAATATCCATGGCGATCGAAAATCATTTCAAATTCCTTATATTAACGAGGGGGTGGGTTCATAAAGAATTTGTACATTAAACATGAAATTAGTTGTTGAATTATGTCTTTGCCACGACAGTTTTTGTAATCAAAACTTTGTTTATATAATTCTTATTGCAATCTTTTTACAATATATTTTTCTCGGATGTGTTTCTCAAAACCGAAATTGCATAATATACATGGTTCGATTGTGCTTATGTAATAAGTATAGATTGGTGCAATGTTGGCCAAATTTTCTAGGTTATGAATCTTGGAGTTTACAGACGAATGTGTCGTATATGATAATACCATGTTTTCCGTCAACATGAATATTTAGGGTATCAGATGAAAGTATATTATGGTTTCTAATTAGCATGACTTGTTTTAACTGCATTTTCAACATATTTCCGACACACCATTACCACTATTTTCTAAAATATTTTGTAATTTTGTATTTAATCTAACAAACTGAATCATAAATAGCAACATCATCCGCAAAAATACTGCAAGTACATGGAAAATTAATTTTGAAATATCTTTTATGAATAATAACAAAAATATAATTGGACCATGACACTACCCTGTAATATCCAAATTCTGATTGATTTTCGGGTAACATTTCACTATTTGCTTACTTCCAGCCAAGGGGCGTTCACGTCGTGGCCTTCATATCCTGGAATATTAAATCAATATGATCTAGTATAAACTCGTGTATAGCATCCCTGGGGCGCATGCAGGAAGTGGGGGGGGGGGGAGGCGGAGAGAAAGTGCAGACGCAATCGCACCCCATTAATTTGTATTGAGCAAAATAATTGTTGTACTGTATTGTTGATATGAATTACCGGCAAGATTCTTAAGGTAAGAGTGCAATTTCCGGGCACCTGAGGTCCATATTCTCTAAATATTCTCACTTCAGCCCCTGCTGATGCAGGATTTGGTAGTAGGGTTGGGCCAACTCCTGCATCAGCCCCAAAATCCATAAGAAGAAGATCTATTAAATGGTGAAGGCATAACAGTTGAGTTGTACTTAAAAGCATATTGGTACATTTATAAGGTCATTTTCATTGAGATACGTAATAATATGATCTTGGACTTGCTTTTCAATAAATTTGGCTATGTGGCTATGTTCTTTAATTTTCTGTTCCTATATTACTAAAATAATAAAATGTTCACAATTAAGATTTGGATGAATATATATATCTGTCTCTTATAC